GGACAGGAGTTTGTCACCGGGGTGGTCGCACCGTTTGTTCCCCATGTAAGCCGGCACTGATGGATATTTGATTGATTTGTCTTTGACTTTGGCGTGGGGACGGGAGAGGGTTGGAGAGGTATTAGTGGTATTTTAGAACCGGAGATGTGGCAAAGTCAGTTAGGATGTTTTCAGAAAATAACACAGCATAGTCTTGGAGAAGGCAGAAACTGATTTTATATCCCTTAAGAGTCTCTACTCCTTCAAGGTGGACACTGGACAGATAGAATATCAAAGCCATAAGCAAAGAAGGGAACAAACAAGGATTGGTTTATTAAGAGGATTCACGTGCAGAAGCTCGTCTCGATAAGCAGCTGTGTTATTGTTGTGGAGAATCTTTGACGATAAGTGTTGGTGGTGAAATTGTTAATTAAATTTTTCGCCAACGTTTCTGCTTGAACTGTCCACTAGACGCATTTGCGCAAGTAGAGTTTTCACCTATGCGGCCATTTCTACCCAGATTTGAACTCCATAAACTCGTTATTAACTTATTATATGGTTAAAATGGCTAAAGGGATAAATCTTACCCGCCCAAGATGCTCTATTTTACTATTTAATTAACAAAGGCAAGAAGTAAGGAAGGATACACAACACCAACATATAAAATAAGTGAGGTACATGTAACTAAAATAATTTGGTGAAACTTGTATTCTCCTTTAAATCTTCTTGAGCTAACTGTTGACATGAAGGCATAAATACGGTTAAGAGATCACAAGAAGACATGAAGATTGTTGAGATGAAGCATAATTAAGCTGCTATACTTGAGAATATGTTCACTCTGTTATGTCCTCTGTTCTGTTACTAGAAGAGCGTATTAAAAGATGGAAACAGAGGAAATAAGGTTTTAGTTGTAACTTGGATACATCATATAGTCAATATTTGAGAAAGTCTTAACATTTGTGTATGGTCCAAAATCATTGACAATTCCTTCTGTATATTTCCTCTATTCTCTATTTAATCACACACAAAAGGCATCTTGAATGCAAGAAAGTGTATGTATGAGCTCTCCACTCTGAGAAATAAAATGTGTGTCATATATTATGACATAGAGATACATCAAGTTCTCAACACATACATAAATTTTAACTTTCTTACATTATGGAAAAGGAGATAGAACAAAGCTTTGGATACAGAAAGAAAAGAAAAAGTAATCTTTAGGAACTGCTTTATTACAAGACCAGGAACACATTGACATGCATTAAAAGATAAAACGCATAACCCCCAAAATGATCCTAGCGGTTTATGCATTTATACAGACCCATCTTGACAAGCCACTCCGGCTTGTATGAAGCGATGACTTGACCTATTGACAAACCAAGAACTAGCCCAGGCCCATAACCTATTGCCACTGCTCTCCAGTTCAACACTTCTTCTTCTTCTACTACTTCATCTTCTTGCTTCAGTTGCTGTTGTGTTGGTGACCGGTTAGGGTCAAAGCAATTCTCCTCGAGAGGAAGACCACAAAGACCTATGTTCCCTTCAAAGGAGGATTTAGGCTGCCCAACAATTTGTGTTCCTTGTGGAATTTCACCATTGAGTTGGTTATGAGACACACTTATGTAGGACAAAAACGAGAGGCTTCCAAGTCCTTTAGGAATAGTCCCTGAGAGTTGGTTGTTTGATAAATCGAGTGATTCGAGCTCCATAACATTTGCCAAAGACATGGGAATATGGCCTGTGAAGGCATTGTTTGATAAGTTAAGTGCAATCAGTGCCTTCAAAAGACCAATGGATTCAGGAATCTGTCCTTCAAGTCTGTTCCCAGAAAAATCAATGGTGGCGTAGGACGTAAAGACCTTTCGTTGCTCCATGAATAGACCTTTGTATTGCAAATCCAAAGTATCATCATACTTATAGTTTGGGGGTTGGTAGTCTCCCATATATAAACTCTCATCATCATTTATCTGGAGTGACGTTGCTTTCCAGTCCACAAAGTAATTTGGTGGCAAGCTTCCTGTAAAGTTGTTATTTGATATCTCAAGTATACGCAGCTTGGGAAAGGCGAGAGAATCTTGATGATTAGGAGGAGATATAGGACCATAGAACTTGTTAGAGCGGAGAGTAAGGGCTTGTAAATCAGGTAAAGCATTGAGCCAGAAAGGAAACGTGTCTTTCATTCTGTTGTGGTCCAAACTTATAAACTTCAGCGAGGAGCAATTCATAAGAGACCTTGGAATCTTCCCGGTTAATTGATTATAGCCAACGTCAAGTGTCCGCAGCAACACATTATCATGGAACATATCCGGAATACTTCCTTCCAAGTTGTTCTTCCGGAGATTCACCACAGTGAGAGAGTCTTTGAGGTTACTCAGACATCTAGGAATTGGACCGGTTAAATTGTTGTAAGATAGATCAAATAAAATGAGAGAGGTCCGGTTGCAGATGGAAAGAGGTATGTTTCCTGTGAAACTATTGTTCCATGCAGATAAGATTTTGATAAAGAGTGGTGGATGAGGAAATGGTCCTTTAAAGTGGTTAAAACCTATATCTAAAAACCTAACAGATGAGTTTACTAAAATTTTTGGAGGACCTTCTAAAGAGGTGAAATAGTTATATAAAAGATACACTGTATTGAGACGAGGAAGGTTCCAAAACCACTCAGGAACTTGTCCTTTGATTTTGTTGTTGGATAGGTCTATAAATTCCAAACTATGAAGGCTTTTTAAGAAGTTTGGAAACTTTCTCATGTTGCAGCCTGATAACCCTAATCTCCCTATGTTCAATGGGACGTCTGAATATGAACTTAGACCACTTGGTGATATACTATTCCCGGAAAGATCAAGTTTCACCAAAGCTTTGAGAGAGGAGAAGATTGTAATGTCAATTGGGTAGCTTATGTTTAAGAAAGAAAGGTCGAGACTCTTAAGGGTGGTGAGTTTTGAGATAGGTTCTATGATTTTTCCTTCAAAATCGTTAGACCCAAGGAGCAGATCCTCGAGAGGGGAAGAGATAGAGGAGTTTGAAGTTTCAGTGGGATCGGTGAAATGGTTAACACGTAGGTCAAGATAAGACAAGAAAGGCATAGAGAAGATATAAGAAGGGATGGTTCCAGTGAAGTTATTATTGACAAGCCCTAACACTGAGAGATTGGTTAGATTCTGTACAGGTGGGAAACTTCCAGTGAGCTCATTTTTGGAAAGGTACAACTCGGTTAGCTGACTTAAGTTACTAAATGAGGAAGGAACTTGACCTTTGAAACCATTGGAGTACAGAGACAAGACCTCTAATCTATTGAGATTGCCAAACTCATAAGGAATAGAGGAACTTAAGTTGTTATAAGCAAGATTAAGGTAGACAAGATGACGCAACTCGAATAGGCTACTCTTAGGTTTCAGGTCTCCAAACAAGTGGTTATTGGAAAGGTCTAAAAATGAGAGTTGTTTACTCAGGTTCCATACAAGTGGGACACAACCTGTGAGCTTGTTAAGGGAGAGGTCTAGATAGAAAAGCTTGCTTAGGTTACTAAATGAGGAAGGAAGTTGACCTATGAAACCATTAGAGGAAAGAGACAGGACCTCTAATTTGTTGAGACGTTCGAATCCAGAAGAGAGTGAAGAGGAGGAGAAGTTGTTGTAAGAGAGATTGAGGTAACGAAGATGATGCAACTGGAAGAGGCTGCTGTTGGGATTTAGAGTTCCACTGAGGCAGCCACTTGGTAGTTGTAGCTTTGTGATCACACCAGTCGTGTTATCGCACCAAACTCCATTAAAGTAGTCAGTGTGGTTGCAACCGTTGGAATCAAACTCGTTCTTGAAATGCACAAGTGCTTGAATATGGTGGGGATGGCAACGTGCAAGACCACCAACAGGATCTTTTAGGAGGGAGGCGCTTGAAGCAAAGATGAAACCGAGTAAGAGTATAGAGAGAGCAAGCGAAGGTAGACTCAATCCTGACATTTTGGTCGTTAAGAAAAAAAGATTCTTGAAGCAGAGAGAAGGAGAAAGATTGGTATAAATGTGGTTTGCAAATGGAGCTGACACTTAGCTTATAGATAGAGATATTCACCGGTAAGGCGTTAATGTCTTGCCAACTTGGTAATGGCATTTACTCAAAATCTTGTTTGTAATTACAAAAAAAAAAAAAGTCTACCTAAAATACACTCATCTTTTCTTCAAGGTGGATAGATAGATATCAACAATGGAGAATACACAACTAACAACATAACTAAGTGAGGCACATTTAATTAATTAGTTTGTTGAAACGTAATATTCTTGAGCTATCAAATTTTACGAATTTATTATGGCCTTCAACGAAACGACGGCATAAGTTTTTGTTTGTGGAGTGGAGAAGAGTTGGTCAAATTTTAAAAGTGTCGGTAACCTTTAATGCATTTGCATCATGTTGGGCTTATTCTGTAAATAACCAAGTATGGAGGTAAGATATGGCGGGTACATGAACTGGTCCAGCATTAAACCACTAAGAGCACTTCTATTGCAAAGTTTCTTGACTTTGATTATCTCACATGAACCAAGAAAAAAAATTGTATTCCTAAATTCAGCTCGAGTTGATATAAGAATCAAAGACTGCTCGAGTTAATTTAAGAACCAGAGAAGAGCCAAAAGCAGGTGTATAACAAGCCCTTTCACAACATGATCAGCCAAAAGAGAGGTTCAAATTTAAGAAAACATATTAAAGTTACATAAACTAGTAAGACCTATCTTTCTTCACTCACAAATTATCAGCTTACCATACTTACATATTACTTTATTTTCGAGATTGCTTAAATATACATAACTAAAATTCGTATCTAATTTGTGTTGTGGATTGGAGGGAGAAGATATGTAACGTAAGAAACAAGTCATGACGTGGCAAAAGAGGAGACCAAGGCGTATGAGCAAAACGGGCCGAAGTTGTATTAGCATTAGCCTTTGTTGAGCCCAACTTGAATTCAGGAGAAATATTAGTAGTCAACATCCCAAAAACGACGTCGCCTTAAGTATATGGTCTGACATAATTTCGCCATAGCAGTCGAATCCATATATCATCCGAGAGTGAGAAGAAGAAGAACACCGATCTGACAAATTCGCCGGAGCTAGGGTTCGTTTATAATCACTCAAATGGCTATGTCTATTCTCCGTCGCGAAGGGAGGCGTCTCCTCCCTTCGATCTCCGCTCGCCCAATCGCTCCCATCCGATCTCCTCTCGCTTCTGACCAGTGAGATCTCTTTAGATATTCCTCTACGAATTCGAAATCGCCTGGTTTGATTTGAGTCTTTTGATGTTTTCATATGATTATGTATGATCGTTAGGATTAGCATTTCTCCCTAGAAAGGTTTAATTTGAATTGAATTTGTTTTCTATGAATCTCGCGAAGCTAACGGATGAGATATTTGTGATGTTCGATTCTTTTGAATCTCGTTTTAATCTAATCGTAAGATGAAATTGAATTTGCTCGAGTGACATTGTGGATTTGATTTTTGTAGGGAGGAGGGACTACTTGGAGTTCGATCTATCTCAACACAAGTCGGTAAGTCTATCTCAGATGATAATTCTAAGATGTTAATAATATTTCATGAGTCTCTTTAATATTTATTCTTTTGTGCAGTGCGTAACCGCATGAAGAGTGTAAAGAACATTCAGAAGATCACAAAGGCCATGAAGATGGTTGCTGCTTCTAAGCTTAGAGCTGTTCAAGGCAGAGCTGAGAACTCCCGTGGACTTTGGCAGCCATTTACCGCACTTCTTGGCGATAATCCCAGTACGGTTGGAGTAGTTTATATTAATCAGTTTATATCACGTGGCATGCATTTGTATTGATGATGACGAACAATCATTTGCTATCTCTGTGTTGCTCTTTTGGATGTGTTTATGATTTCTAGCGCTTACTTGAATGTTAAAACTAGGTATTGACGTGAAGAAGAGTGTGGTGGTTACTCTCTCTTCTGACAAGGGTCTTTGTGGTGGAATCAACTCCACTGTTGTTAAAGTGAGCAGAGCTCTTTACAAATTGAATGCTGGTATGTTTTGAAGGCACTATCTATGGTGTTATGGTTTCGTTACCAAACCTGAAAATGATTTTTATTTCATTGCAGGTCCTGAAAAGGATGTGAAGTTTGTTATTGTGGGAGAGAAAGCAAAGGCTATAATGTTTCGTGACTCAAAGAATGACATCTCTCTTACTGTAACAGAGCTGAATAAGAATCCACTCAACTATGCTCAGGTAGGTTATAATTGCTCAATAGTTAGGAGAATTACTTGCTCGCATCTATTCAGTTTGAAGTTGTGTATTGTTTGCTTGGATATTTCTTATGTTTACTTGCTGGTTCAGGTCTCAGTTCTAGCTGATGACATCCTGAAGAACGTTGAATTTGATGCTTTGCGTATTGTCTACAACAAGTTCCATTCTGTTGTCGCATTTTTACCAACTGTGGCCACTGTTTTGTCACCAGAGGTAAAGTCACAAGTGTCAAATATCTCAGCACTATCTATAACATATTTATTTGTGATTTTTTGTTTTTTTGCATTGAAAGATTATTGAAAAGGAATCTGAAGTTGGGGGCAAACTCGGTGAGCTTGACTCATACGAGATTGAAGGTGGTGAAACAAAGGGAGAGATTCTGCAGAATCTGGCTGAGTTCCAGTTCTCTTGTGTAAGTAATCAAGAACATACAAACTTGATTTATGGTTTTTAAACATTGACATAAGGAATTAATTTGGTTGATTTTCACAAACTTTGCGATTAGGTAATGTTCAATGCGGTGCTGGAGAATGCATGTAGTGAGATGGGAGCTAGAATGTCTGCAATGGACAGCTCAAGCAGAAACGCAGGAGAAATGCTTGACCGTCTCACCCTCACTTACAACAGGACTCGTCAAGCTTCTATCACAACAGAGCTTATCGAGATTATCTCTGGAGCTTCTGCACTTGAAGCCGCTAAATAAGCACCATCTTACTGTGCTTTGATATTTGTTGAGACCACCAGTCTTTGGTCAAAGATTTTTTTTATAATAAGATATCCCTGTAATTTTCCAGCAGGATTACGAATAATTGCATTCACATTTTGTTCTGATTCAAAAGCACCATCACCGGTTTAATAATCTAGCTTTGAAACTCCTCAGATTTCAAAGTTTTTGCACGAATAAATGTAATCTTGTGCATCAGTAAGGGGTCATTCGACAATAATCAAGTATGGTTTTAAATCAGCCAAAGAACAATTGACCAAGGTTTTTTCAAACAATAATTATTAATAAAATAAAAAGGAGATGATTCAAGAAACAAACAACTACTGACTAATGCCATACATATGCTTGGAAGCCACCTCCCACAGGCTGGCTAAAATGCAATAGCGATGGAGCCTGGCGTGAGAATAGAGATACTAGTGGGTTAGGTTGGATTTGTAGGGATGAGCATGGTCATATGTTATGGGCAGGAGCATGGTCATATGTTATGGGCAGGAGCAAGAGCGGTAACAAAGACGAAATCATCCATCATTACGGAGGCTGAAGCGTCGAGATGGGGAGCAGAAACTTTGGCAGGTTTTGGATATAAGAACGTCATCTTTGAAACAGACTCCCTTTCTCTAGCAAGGATGATTAATGGAAAGGAGGAGATCTGGCCGGTTCTACAACCATCTATTGAAATGATTCGTCATGCTTTGTTACGGATTCAGAGATTTGAAGTGCGATTCTACCCTAGAGGAGGTAATAAGGCTGCTGACAGAATAGCAAAGGAAACTCTCACTTATGTGTCCAATGTTCCTAAGTTATATTTTGTAGTGCCAATGTGGTTGAATTATCATGTAAGTGATAAAACAGTGTATGCACACAATGTTGGTTAATTAAAGTATTTGATGAGTTAAAAAAAAAAAAAAAAAACAACTACTGACTAATATTCTCTTCCTTTTCTTTTGCTTCATGATGAGGCACTTGGATCTGCACCCAACTTGGAACATAAGAGATGACATCTTGCATATTCTTTTTTTCTTTGTAGACTCCATCCTCTCCAAGCACGTAACCTTTGTACTCGAACATATATTCTCTACCACAAACCACTGCTACTTTCTTCTTTTTGTCAATCAAGACGAAACTGCGAGCTTCAAACCAATGGTTTAAACCAAGGAAAGTTTTCCTACTAACTTTAAAGAGATTGGTCCACGACACTGCATTAGGCTCAATCTTAGTTGTAATCCATATTACTAAGTCATATGGGTACTTTTGATATAGTACCGCAAGCTGCTCTCCTCTAACACAAGAACATGGAATCTCATCATCGTCAGTGTCAAATGGTAGATCCATACACGCTCCAAATTCCTCTCTAGTAAAATCGAAACCTAATAATTTCCTATCAACAACAAAGTAACTATTTCCCTTCAAGGACACCTCTCATCCATATCTCTTTAGGATAGATAATATCAAGAACCCTCCACAAATTCGACTTAAAATCGTATATTCCATGCTTAAACTTATTGTAAGAAAGCTCCAAGACTTTATGGTTCATGTTGTTGTCGTATCCTATAGCATACTCGTCTATTATTACACTCCTCTTATTTCTGGGTTCAATCCATCTGGTTTGCCCCAAATACGGATTCCATACCACTAGCCTTTTACCCCCAGCCAGGCATAGCAATAAGCCGTCACACTGATTGACTATATCTAAATCGGGAGGACTATGTAGTTTTCCTATCTCCTTCATACATGGCAAGTCTCTGTAGAGACTGAATCGACAATAACCATCAAAAGCCACGAACATCGGAAACTTTTTGGCTAATTATCTACAGTGTTTCTTTGTGAATCTCTGGTCATTGAATAGAGTGTTCCATCTTTTGCAAGTGGTTTTTACTGCTTTGAGAGAAGTTATCGAGACTTTAGAGAGTATCTCCTCTACCAAATCCAATGAAAGATCAGTGATCATAGTCATTGTTTCCTGTATAGAAATTAATTAGGGTTTTTAACTCTTAGGAATGCCCTCTCTATTTAATATATATAGATAAATAAATAAGGTATGGAAAATGAGTTATTTCCGATTAATACATATTTTCCTTTTTCAATATGAATTATGATTTTCTAAAATTTTAGTCAATTTAGTTAATTTAACTAAAATATTATGAGGATAAATACATTGTTTCTATATTTTTTTTTATCTTTTTACATATATTTTTACATATATACTAAAAGAAAGTCAGTTTTTCTATATAAATCATTGCCAAAAAGAGCAACCAAGTCAAGAAGAATAACCCTCGCATGCAATTAAAGAGGATTTCGTTAAAACAATTCGCACATACAATAAAATTACGTCACCCTGACCTAGCACATACCAATGTTCAATTTCAACATCCTAATGAAGTTGTTCTAACAGCAACTATACCAAAGTAAACATGTACAATTTAAGAACAGCCTCTTAATATGCTTGCATCATCTCCGTTATCTTTTTCTATTGTCTAATAAAATTCATCCCCTCTTCTGGACTCGGCAGTTTTAACAAAATAGAAGTTTATCACTCTCGTTCTCGAGTTTGATTTGGGTTGATGTGTTCACAATGGTACCGTGTGGAACAAGGTGAGTACAACAAGGGTAATTAAACATCACCAATAATAGAGTATTATAATAGTCAACAAAGACCTTTATTAGTAACTAGTCCAAGTCAAGAAAGACCGGCATTTGAATCCCACTAGGAAGACTTAATAGCAATTAGTCCAAGTCAAGAAAGAAATTTAAGTAAACGCCACTACCAAGACGGCTAAGACTTATCGGTAAACATGCAACTATAAGTAAAGTGGACAGCTCTTATGTCAAATCATATTCAAGAATATTTTTCATCTAAAAAGTTTTTCGCGATGGTCTCAATGTCCGGTTCGCAACTACTTTTGAGTTTTCTCTCGGTACTCTTACTACTCTGTCGTGTCTCTATGTCGAGCACCTTTATTGTAGAAAACCCCGTTGTTGGTCTTTCTACTTGTCATCCTCACCATATTCAAACCCTTACGCAGTTTAAGAACGAGTTCGATTCCAGCGTTTGCAACCAAACCGACTACTTCAATGGAGTCCGGTGCGATAACACGACAGGTGAGGTCACTAAGTTGCAAATACCAAGTGGTTGTCTAAGTGGAACTCTGTATCCCAACAGTAGCCTCTTCCGTTTTCATCATCTTCGTTACCTCAATCTCTCTTACAACAACTTCACCTCCTCTTCACTCCCTTCAGGACTCGGGAATCTGAACAAACTAGAGGTTTTATCTCTCTCCTCTAGTGGCTTCATCGGTCAACTTCCTTCATCATTTAACAACCTAAGCCTGCTTTCTTTTTTAGACCTTTCCGGAAATGAGTTCATTGGTAGTTTCCTAAATATACGTAACCTAACCAAACTCTCGTTACTAGACCTTTCCAATAATCACTTCTCAATTCTTGAACCCACCAGTAGTCTTATTGGCTTGTATCACCTTCGTTACCTTGATCTCTCTCTCAACAGTTTCATTTTGTCTTCCCTTCCTTCCAGCTTAGGGGATCTCAACAAGTTAGATATCTTGGCTCTTTCTTCTAATGGCTTCATTGGCCAAGTTCCTTCCTCGTTTTGTAACCTAAGCATGCTAACCTTGCTGTACCTTGATAATAACCAGATCACTGGTAGCTTCCCACTTATATGGAATCTAGCCAACCTCTCAATCTTGGACCTTTCCAGTAATAACTTCTCCGGAGCCATTCCTTCTTCTCTCCTCACTATGCCTTCCTTATCATATCTGAATCTTCNATTGGCCAAGTTCCTTCCTCGTTTTGTAACCTAAGCATGCTAACCTTGCTGTACCTTGATAATAACCAGATCACTGGTAGCTTCCCACTTATATGGAATCTAGCCAACCTCTCAATCTTGGACCTTTCCAGTAATAACTTCTCCGGAGCCATTCCTTCTTCTCTCCTCACTATGCCTTCCTTATCATATCTGAATCTTCGTGGAAACCATTTCAAAGATCCTATTAAAGTTCCTGAACCATCTGCTTCATCTCGACTTGAAACCTTGTTCCTTGGGGATAATCTTTTTGAAGGAAAAATCCTAAAGCCTATCACAAAACTCACCACCCTCGAATATCTTGACCTTTCTTTCCTAAACATAAGCTACCCAATTGATGTAAGGCTCTTCTTCACTCTCAAATCATTATTGAGACTTGATCTCTCAGGAAATAGTTTACTGTCAGCTAGTATGAGGTCATATTCCAACATCACGATGAACTTGGAGGTTTTCCTCATGCCACTTTGCGGCCTCAGTGAGTTCCCAAAAATCTTAAAAACCCTTGTTAGATTGGAGCATATAGACATTTCAAAAAATGTAATCCAAGGGATTATCCCTCAGTGGCTATGGAACCTTCCTCGCTTGAGCTTACTGAATCTTGGTAGCAATTTATTCAGTGGTTTCCAAGGTTCAACAAAAGCTCTAAGAAATTCATCAGTGCAGATATTAGTGTTGGCTTTGAACCTTTTTGAAGGACCACTTCCTATTCTACCACTCTCTCTCATCTCGTTGTCTGTACGGAACAATAGTTTCACAGGAGACATACCACTTTCAATATGCAACTTACCCTCTCTCGCTGTTTTTGATCTATCCTACAACAACTTCACTGGTCCGATTCCTCAATGTCTGAGTAAATTAACGGATCTGAATCTCCGGATGAACAATTTGGAAGGAAGTCTTCCGGACATGTTCTATGTTGGTACCTCTCTGCGGGCACTTGATGTTGGCTACAATAAAATTTCTGGGAAGCTTCCAAGGTCTCTAATAAATTGCTCCTCTCTACAGTTTATAAATGTGGACCACAACCAAATCATAGACACATTTCCTCTCTGGCTCAAGACTTTACCCAATCTGCAAGTCCTTACCCTTCGGTCAAACAAGTTATACGGTTCTATATCTTCCCCTGACCATGGTCCTCTCGCCTTTCCGGAGCTGCGTGTACTTGAAATATCGGATAACAACTTTACCGGAAGCTTGCCATCAAGTTACTTTATGAATTGGAAAGCATCTTCACTCGAGAGGAATGAAGATGGGAGTATATACATGGGATACAAAAAGAAAACTTCTAAAGATGGTTACTATACTTATGTAGATACTATAGATTTGCAATACAAAGGTCTATTCATGGAACAGAGCAAGGTCCTCACATTCTACAGTGCCATTGATTTTTCTGGAAACAGATTTGAAGGAAAGATTCCT